AGATAAATATAAAATTTACAAATTTTTAGTTTTAACGTGTGAGAAAACCTCTCTATTTATAGACAACAAAGAGATATCTGAAATTCAAAAAAGAAAGACAATTTTTAATTCAAGGATATGAAAAATATATAAAAACTATATTTTAACTATTTGGTTTTACATATGTGCCCCCACCCCCACCCCAAAAAACAACATTCTCAAAAAAGTAAAAGTGTAACAAATAAATTGAAAACGGAAGAGTACCTATTGAATCTAATTTTTTTTCTCTAACAGTTTGAGATTTACACAGCTCGAATACAAAGTTATAGTTTTTGCAACAGAAAATCATTGTTCTTTTCGAGTAGAAGTTGTTGTATAAGTATATTTATGACTATAAAAATAAATACATATTAATTATGTATATTTTCTTCTCGTTTGTAGTTGAGTTATTCAATTCTCCTTGTTGCATCTATTCTTATTAATCTGCCTAGTTTACCCACTTAAAATATTATAATTGCATAATCAAACAACTCTCGCAATCTTCCTTATCTTAAGAAGAAAAATAGAAAACCTACGAAATTCGTAGTTTAAAAGTGTCAGAAAACCTCTCTATTTATAGACAACAAAGAATACTATGAAAATGTATTTATCGTGTCTTATAATATAAGTCACAACCCTTAAGGAAATTCACAACTTTTTGACAATGTCATAACTCTTGAGAAAATCACAACTCTAAAATAAGAAAGTCACAATCATTCGAAAAAGTCACTACTCATCAATGTGAAACCAGTCTGCTTTTAATATAATGTAGAAAAAATAATTGATAAATAAATATAATGTAAATATAGAATATATACTAAATTGTGTGTTTTAAATTGGGAGTGTTATAGTAATTTAACATTCAAGTTAGGAAGTTTATGCTTTTCGAGTAGTATATAAGTGTGTGTGTGTGTGTGTGTGTGTGTGTGTGTGTGTGTGTGTGTGTGTGTGTGTATATATATATTGTACATAAATATATCTATAACAATACTTAGGGGTCATTTGGTAGGGAACAAGTTATCCCGAGATAAGTTATTTCAGCATGCATATGCGATAACTTATCTAATCACTAAGGTATAAAACCATAAATAGTGAGATAAATAAAGAGCAACTTACAAAAATGACTATATTTATAGGGTTATTAAAGCTCAATAGGTACAAGTATGGTATTTATAAAAAATGACTACATTTTAACTCTTTTTCTAGCTATATTATTGTATATGTTTTTTATTTTTCTATTCATACATTGATACAGTTTTAATTACAATGAACTAAATAAGAAAATTGTATTAATTGTATCAAAATAGTCTCTTTATTTATAAAATTTAAAGTATTGATATATCCAGGATACAAGTATTTATAAACACTTAATATATTATATATTAAACAAGATAAAATATAACAATTTAGCATACAAACACGATAATTTGAAAAATGAATATATAGTTGTTAAAAAAAAATGAATACACTAATATAGTTTGCATATACATTGTTGTTTAACAAAAGATGAATATATTTGACAATACAAAAACAAAAAAAATGAAAAATAATAGAATGTGTAGAAAGCAAAAGTATGCAAGTATTCGGTTGCGTAAAAATTGGGGGGGGGGGGGATAAACAAACAGCAATCTCTTTTTGATCAAGTTTTTCTTATAATACTTGAGGCTTGGTGTTGACTCATGTATTTGTTTATATAAAATAGTATTAATGTATCCAATTACTTGTTTACCTAATTAACCTTTCAAATTCGATAGATTACTTATGTATCCAAATACTTGTATTAAGATAACACCATTTCAATTTGTGTTAATATTAGAATACAAGTGATCCAAAAAAAAATTTAGAATACAAGTATCTGTGTATATAACTATTATACTATATACAAATTTGACATCAAACAAACCTCAATCTCTGTTTATTCGTGTTCTTCTTGTACTACTTTTTTTTACAACTGTAGTCATTGTAATGTAGAAACGAGTCAATCGAAAGCCTATAAAAATAGATGCAACATATATATATACACACACACACACACATACACACACAAATATGATCTTCATAAAAACGAAGAGAAAATCAATTAAGTGATATCTGATGATTTCAAATTACAAAAATTCTTTCTAAAATCATCGAAAAGATCTTCAATTGAAAGAAATTTGGGAGAAAAATACATAATTTTGTAATATAGAAAAATTGATGAAAGAGAAAGTATAAGTGAGAGTAAACATGGGGAACCAATCACATAAAATATACCTAAACATACAAAATTAGGTGTATAATAATAACTTTCCTATTTAATATTAATAATTTTTCTAATTATTTATATATATAATTACTTTGCTATTTATTGTGTAATTATATACATATAACATAAAAAAAGTAAATTGTAGCTATTTATTTTAAATGTATATTAATGTTTGCCATATTTTGTAGTTTTTTCATAAATAATCTCAAGATTGCCTAGTACGTCCAACCAAAAACATAATAAATTAATTCTACATTTTATTCTTGAAATTATTGTATATTATACTTCGTCCGTCTACTTTTAATTGTCAAACCATCTCCAACCTCCTCTATTTTACTCTACATTTTCTATTTGGAGAGTAAAATAGATAATTCTCTCTCCAGCCCCTCTTTATATTACTCTCTATACTACATTTATAGAGAGGTGAATAGTAGTTCTTCAAATTTGATGAAATACTATTTACATTCTCTATTTCATTTTTAAATATTTTATTATTATTTTAATTACTTTCTAATTAACATATTATTTTACATATAATATCATTAATTAAATATCTTATATTCATACTTCTTTTTAAATGTAATATATTATTTTATACTACTTTCATCCCGAGTTAATAGTATTTTAATTTTTTCTAATTTTCGTCGACAATATAATTTGATTTTATTATTATTTTTCACTATGAATAATACTCCTTCCGTTTTAAAAAGAATAACCATATTTCCTTTTTAGTTTGTTTTAAAAAGAATGACTCCTTTCCTTTTTTGGCAACACTTTAGCTTTTCACGTGACATGTTTAAGACCACAAGATTAAAGGTCATTTTGGTACATTTGACATAACATTAATTTAGAACCACAAGATCAAAAAGTCTTCTTTCCTTTCTTAAACTCTGTTCTAAGTCAAACTAGGTCATTCTTTTTGAACGGAAGGAGTACACAAAATTAAAATGATAAGATGAAAAAATTAATTTAAAAATACAACTCATAATATGATAATTTAAATACAAGATAACATACAATACATAACATAATAATTAAAATACAAGATAAAATACAATACATAACATAATAATTAATTCGCGATGAAACAAGATCATGCCAAAGAGATGTTGAACGTGCATTCGGAGTTTTGCAATTTTTGCAAGACCGTCACTTTTTTGGAGAAATAAAGTGTCACATGATATAATGACTACATGTATTATACTGCACAACATTATAATTGAGGATGAAGGTGATATTAATGCACAAATTCAAGATGTTGTAAAGCCTCCAACTCTAATGACAAAAATGGAGGTAGATGAAAATCTCCACTTTAAACAAATTTTAGCTAGACATAAAAAAAAAATTAAGGACAAAATGCTCATTTTGACCTCCGTAATGTATTAATAGAGCATCTATGCGAGCAAAGTAACAATTTTACAAATTAAATGTTTATGTAATGATTATGTAATTATAGTTCACTTTTATTTGAATTTGTTCATTAATTTATATATAATATATAATATTTTCTTGCAATTTATGTAATTTAGATATTTAACAATAAATTTATTTTAATATTACATAAAAAAATTGAAAAAATAAAATATTATATCACGTGAAAGTTATGTAAAGTAATTATATGAGAAAAAGAAACAAAATAATTATATTATGAAATAAGAAGATAAGACTGGAATAGAAATAATAATAATAATAATAATATACTAGTAAGGAGAAAGAAAAAAAATTGTTTCTTAGAAAGTAAAATAGAGAATTGAGTTGAAGTTGATTGTCTGAAAAAATAGAGAAATTTATATTTGAAGAGTAAAATAGAACGTAAAGGTGTAGATACCTGCATGATTTCCTTTTGTAGAATTAAACGATAAAAATTTAGCTAACATTTTATGATATATATTTTCATCATATTTATACGCAAAATATTTGTCATTTACAATACTTGTTGTATAATTTTTTAATATATATATATATATATATTTAAAAAATATTAAATTAATATTACTTAATTTAAGTTAAAAAATGAAACAAATTAACTTTTGAAAAATGTATGGATATTAAAATGAACATACAAGACCTCGACTCAATAATTCATTGCCACGTCATTAATAGCAATGAAAGGAGACGTTGACAAGGACAAGTGGTGAGATTAGTTTAATGCGGGAGGAAGGAAGGCGCAGACGTAGGAGTCGGCGTATGGAATATGCTATCCCTTCACCAATCAGAATTATTGTTCTTAACTTACCCTCCCCCACTCCTAAATGTTTTATTAATTTATTTATATATAGTCTATACAAATGGTTAAGAGCGTATTAAACTACAAATTTAAGAATACTATTCTATATTAGATTAACTAATATGGAAACTTACCTATGTATAGAACATCAAAAAAAATATTTATCATTTATTGCGTAGAAATTTTCATTTGATCAATTTTAATACATATGATCAAAAAAATTATTATTTATATATAATACAAGTTTAATTAATATATATTACATTTATTACATGATTCAATTCACTTATAATCAATGTGTCAATTTCTTATCAAATAAATATAATATATTTTAAAACATAATTAATATAGATATATTACATATAATTCATTTTTTTATTTATTATAGATTTAATATTGAAATTATTAAAAATAATAATAACTAAAAAATATAACTAAAATTAATAATTACTTATTTAAACGTATTATGCAAATAATTTTTCCCTTTTCTCTTATTTTTAAAGAGTATATGTCACAATCATGAATATGAATAGTAGGAAGTCATTTTGATGAATAACCAAACACACTACTCTTTTGTCTTGCTCGACCGCTTACTTTAGAAATACTTGAAAATTCTAAAATCTCAAAGCTTAAGCTTAAGCAGAAGCAGAAGCAATTCATTTGTAAGTTTTTCTTAAAACATTTTTGTGTTCTCTTTTTACAAATCAGATTCTTGTTTTTCTTCTCTGGATTAGTATACAAATTGATAACAAGAAATAGGAAAATATGTTATAGTTTTCTTGTGTTGAATTTTCTAGTTTGGATCTTTATTCCTTTCTCCGATCGGAATTTCTCTTTTGTTGGGCTAATTCTTCTGTTTCTTCTGGTGGACGGTAGGTAGACGGTAGTTGATGTTTCTTAAGCTTTTAGCTTTGTTTAATCTGTTTTTATTAAATATACATCTATGAAAAATAAGCAAAAATATTTAGCCATTAATCCTCATCTGCTGCTAATTCTAGAGGCAGAGCAAAGTTACGAGTTCGAATCAATCTTGTTTGGGGTTCACAAGTTAATATACATATATTTATTTAATTTTTTAATACAATATACGCCTATTAAAAAGCTAGTGGATTTGTTTGAACCCACGAACTCCCACCTACCTCCGCCTTCCGGCTATTTCAACTTCTTTGTCCACTTTGAGTAAACAAAGTTTTTATTGGACTGTTTAAATAATTTTTGGTTTTACTTAAACTGATACGAAATTGTGGGCGGAACATACTTGAAATAATTTAGAGACCAATCAAGGCATGTGAATTCTTCATTTCTTGGTTCAGAAATTACTTTTTCATTTTTATGTTATGATTGTTGTTGTTTAGTTATCTGTTTAACTGCGATGAATTGGTTGCTACATGAAAAATGGACTTTTCGATCAGTGGCGAATCCAAGAATTAAACTTTCACTAATGGAGTTTGAAAAATAAAGATGTACTACTTATGAATGAATTTAGAACCTCAAGAGAATTTTGGTCTCTAAAGCCAACCTCTAATCTTTTGTTTAGGGGTTCAAATTTTATATATATACATAAAGTTTTAAAAAAGTACCTTAGATATGCCATGTAATTTTTGCTGAACCCTCTCACTACCCTCTGGATTCACTATGCTTTAAATGGTATTGACACGATTATGCTTAACAATGCTACTAGATACAACTTATTCCTCCTTAATCAATTATTTTCCAACTTTGCTGGCATTACTCAATGAGTTATTGCTTATCACATGGTAAATTAGTAAGGTTGAAATCCTTTATTTGATCATGCAAAGTAGGTTATCTGAAGGTCAAGCAGAGGGGATAACTCAAAATACTTAAAGGTAGAAGCTATCAGCTAAGAACTACACATGGACAAGGGTAAGCGTTTAGTCTACCTAACCTAATTTGCTATCTCATTTTTCAAATTCCGACAGGGTTTTCTGGGATCACATTGATTATGGTATATATTTGTTTGTTGATGATGTATTCTTCATGTAGCTCATGAAAAATTTCTACTTTCATGTCTTATTCCATTATATTTCTTGTAGGTATCTTTAAATGTTGAGTTCAAGTTAGTCAAAAAGTTGTTACTGCATGATGAAATGCTTATAATTATCACTTTGGACAGTTGTTTGAAGTTTTACATAATGAACTCTTCTAGGATATGTATATTACTTGGTTTAGAATATGCATATTTTTTCAGGAAAAATGTGTTTACCCTTCATTTATAATTGTAGGATTTATTACTCATACTGAATTTTAGATGAAGGAATTTTTGTAGCCATGATTAATTGGACATTGGGTATAACAGGGGCTATTCTTGAAGCTGGAGAGGGAAGAAATACCGTTGAACTTGTGAAATCAGCCTCTGAAAAACATCTTGACCTTTTGAGGCCATCAGCTCGATATTATTCAGTGTCGAAAGGTAGCCTTTTCTTAAATTTATAAGTAACTAGAAATTTTATAAAAGCTTGAACTAAGCAAGTGCATCAGGCGTAATTACAAACCGTGCAAATTCTCTAGTGTGTAGCATTGCATGAACATCTCGTACAATGAACAGTTTGCACCAAAAAGCAAGAAAAATATAAATCCATCTTTGAGGCGGTGAATGTTTCTCCTATTGCCTTAGAATATTCTGCTATTTCTTTCAAGTCAGACCATTCACCAACTACCATGGCCTGAAGTATAGTGTTCCAAGTCTCTTGAGAATTCTTGCATATGCCCTTCTGTTCCAGTACTGTGGAAGCTCTGTTATTGAGCTAGGCATGATCCAACACATGCCAAGTATTGTCAAAGACATGCCCCATAATTGACTTGTGACCCGGCAGTACAAAAAAAGGTGGCCCACTTCTTTAGGTCGTTCTTCACACAATGGGCATTTGCTGCAAAGTTGAAATCCCCTCTTTTGATTGTTTATTCGAGTGAGTCAAGCATCCCTAGCCAAATTCCAAGAAAGGCAAGAGACCTTCAAAGGAGCACTATTGAACCAAATCTTTTTCCAAGGTCATATAACCCTGTTGGTGTCAGATTGCATCACAACGAAGCAATTTCTAACTGAAAAAGTCCTTTGGAGTGCCCCTTCTAGCTGATGGGTCAACTTTGTTTTGATCCAAAACTAGCCGTTTTCTTTATTTCTGGGATACCACGACTATTTTGGCCGTCTTTGTTCTGATCACAACCTGGACAGCGCTTGGTGGACATGCTTTTCCATCATGCTTTTGGATTATCCTAGGAAGATATTCCCATGTCTATAACTTGTATTTGTGCCTAAATCCAAGAAGTGCATTTGCATTTAGCGCACAGATTGAAATGCTCATTTCTATGATGTGTGGCCTATATAGATCAGGAAAAGAAGTAGAATGCTGTTAGGATCATTTTCTTCACAAACTTCTATCTATGGAGGTTCCCTACCTTTGTCTTATCTATCGTAGCTTCTGAATTAGAACAACAAAAAGTTATCAATGTTGTTTTCTCACACTCCTCAGCAAATAAATGCAGCATTGCTATAGGATTGAAATACATTGAAATATATCTTTATCTTTTCATGTCACAAGTTTTACTTTCATTCAGTTACTTATTCGAGGCCTTATAGGCAAAATATTTTGATACATGTTTCATAAGAAAAACTATTCCGTTACCTGCTTTTACCTATTTAAGTTTTCTTTCCTTTTGTTTGGGTTGTTGGGGGTAAGGATCTTTTCTAAACTTTATGTTCAGTTCCCTGGTATCTATGTAAATCTGAAGACATATGTTCCTCTGAATTTGATTCTATCTACCAATCATCTGTCTACACTGAGACAGAAAAGATTAAAATAACTGAAGCAAACCAAAGTTCTGAATTGGATACACCATGATAATAGGGCAAGCTGGTGATGCAGAAGACCGTGAGAAGGGAAAGTATACCTTGATTAGAGATGTAGAGGACCTTCAAACAGGGTTCTATGATAAACCTCTTCCTTGCTTTGGTTGCGGAATCGGATGGTTTTCGTAAGTGCTATTATTATAAGTCTCAGTTACTCTCTCTCTCTCTCCTCTTCTGAAAAATCTGATTGTTTATTATTATTACTAGATTTCTTCTGGGATTTCTATGCCCGTTGATGTGGTATTATGCCACGATACTTTATTTCGGAAACTACTACCGTAAGGATCCTAGAGAACGTGCTGGGCTTGCTGCATCTGCTATTGCTGTAAGTTGATTCATTTCTCCTTTGCTAAGCATTTAACAAATTAAAATAATGGATCAATCAAAAAGATGGAAAAAGTAAATGCTTGAGATTGGATTTCTCTACCTTTCTTCTTTTCATTGACCCTTCAATATCTTTTGCTTCTCTTGATATCGTGTTCATGCGTTAATTAACAATGTTTAGAATTTACTCTCTTGTGCAGGCAATGGTGTTTTCTGTTGTCTTGCTTATTATAGCAGCAACTCTCTTCTTGTAGCTTCTGCGATGCAAAGTTTCATACTAATATGATCAATGTTACTTGTTCTGTAGTCAAGTCAAATGCCTCCAAACTCTCCAATTGTAAATGTTGTGACGAATGAAAAAAAAAAGATTCTTATACAGAACTATATACATGGTCATTATGTGTTCCATCCAGATTTATTGTTGGAAATCCTCGTGTTTTTTTCATTTTAAAAGTGGTGTACTAATAATATTAGATATGCTTTTATGTGAAATAGAGAAGGCCTTGTAAACATAAAGGGTTTTTATATCTCTCTGCTGTAAAGTGAATTTGTGTATTAACAACATCTGTTGGATCTTGAAATAAACAATTTCCTGACAAAAAGTTCACCTCCATATCTAGGTGGTAATGTTACCTGGATCGATGGCTTACTTTCTATGTAATGGGGGAAGAAGAGGACCAAAATGTGCCACTAAAAGCTGCACAATCTTTTTTCAATTTTCCCAACATATAATCAATCAATCACCTGAGAGATAGATATTGGAGTTCCCAAGCTACTAAGCTCCATCACCCTCCTCTCTATAGTCTATTCACTTTGTGCCAAATTTTACTTTTTCTTAAGGAAAAAACATACATTCCAATTATTAAGGTGATCTATTATTCAAATCATTCCCACTCTTATACCATGTCATATATTATAATTTTTTTTCTTTTCTTAAATATATTTTACCGTAACTAATTCTTACTTAATTAGTTTATATCTTTAATAATTATATTCTCTCCAGCACTAAATCTAACTCATTTCATCGAAAAATTCATATCTAGCTACCTTCACTATTGATTTTGTTCTTTGCCATCACTATATCACTTTATTCTTCTTCTTTATCACCCAACAACAAATATCACCACCGCCATTATTAATATCAACTTTTCTTCACCACCTTCAATTACCACTTATAATTTTTGTCATTCGTCTCCCATCACCACCAAACTCAAAAAATTGATCAAAAATCAAATTTCTTTAATACCATCAAAAAAATAATTTCAAAAAAAAAGAAGATAGAAACAATTAATGAAAACTTTTCTAGAAAAAAATACAATTATTCACTAACAAATCTATGAGAAGTAATCTAATTTTGAATACAAAAGAATTATGCTTAAGTATGTGATAAATAAATAAAGAAATGCGATGAAAATAAAGAATGAAGAAGAAGAGAACAATGGACGGGGTATGAAGAAGAAGTATGGGGGCTGGGGTTGGAAAAGAAGATTCTAAAATTATTTTTTTAATTTAATTTCAAAAAAGGAGATTCGAACTTCTTCTTTTTTACTTTGATTTCAAACTGATGTGTCTATTTTTATTTTTATTGCCACATCAATTATAAGGGTAAGAAAAATCATTTTTGAGTAGTATATGTATGTAATAAGTCACTATGATAATTTAAGTGTATAACTACTTTTCAAAGACAAATTGGAGGGGAAATTTTTATGCCTTTTTCCTTTGTTTAATAATTTGCCAAACAGACATACAACTAAAAGAGCCATCAGTATTGCCAGTCCATATGGGCTGGTCAAAGATATCACCTTCTAGGATGTCCATTAGTGATCTCATTTCATTAAAAGGTGAAAAAAAACTCAGATAATAAAGGTTGGGATCAAACAAAGTTTGGTGAAGGTATTTTCGTCCTGAAAATTCTAAACGCTTAGGTTTCTAAGGTGAAATTTTCTTTCCAAGTTGCTCTTCTGCTGCAGAAAACAGTTTCAGCTAGCAAGTAGTTTTTTTTTAAATAAACACTTCTAATTCCCCAAAATCTTCAGCAAACATGTTGAGATATGAGAGTGAAGATAATAAGAACTTGACGCTCTTCATAAAAAAGAACACACAAATTTGCTGATAAACCAACAAAATAAAATAAAAGCCATGACAATTTTCTTACAGAAACTAATATCTATAATCTAGCACAAACAAAATTTCGGAACAGACTCCTTCAAATTGACGTAGAGGTTGACGCTCTTCATAAAAAAGAACACACAAATTTGCTGATAAACCAACAAAATAAAATAAAAGCCATGACAATTTTCTTACAGAAACTAATATCTATAATCTAGCACAAACAAAATTCCGGAACAGACTCCTTCAAATTGACGTAGAGGTTGATGGTATAAATGAAGCTTGTTTTATAGCTTTGGCTCTAGATTGTTTTCTTTTTCCTCAATAGATTGCCTAAATCATTGGTTGTAAAATTTATAACATCTGAATTGAAAGAATTTTCAGGAACTTTTGGTTGCCAATCGTACATATTTGCCATCAACAACAAATTTAGAACTTGAATTTATCTGCACGGAACAGTAATAAAGAATCACACATTAGCACCATACATGTTTAGCCAAAGGATTGAAAGAAATAAACACTGATGAGGTTGGATAGGATTAGCTGACCTTATGCTCAATTGTGTCACTGACTTGGCTTTCGTCTTCTACCATGCCAGACACATTCACAGACTTCAGAACGATCTTTTTAAGCTTCTTCAACTTCAGAACTCCATCGGAATTCTGGCCCAAATGCAACAAGAGAGTAAGAGAGATACCAGACAATACATAAAATAGCCTCTAAGATGTGATACATAAAGACTCTTGAATCAAAGAGGAAGAAATGTTCATGAAGATGTTTGAAAAAAAAGTTGGAATATGTATATGAAAGAGAAGTTGCAAATTAGTGATGAAATGGAGAGAACACATACAGATTTCAAAGCTAATGTGATCACTTTCTTCCACTTTATCTTCTTCTTGCTGTCGTTTCTGTTAGACCCATCCACGACAGCTTTATCTTGCTTCACTGTTTCATTTTTGGCTTTCTTCTTGTGTTTTGTTTCCTGTTCTTTTTCGACCTGGATCACTTCACCAATATCTAATTCAGCAGAAAGTTTGTCACCACCATTTTCAGATTCCCTGTCTTTCCTTTTCTTATTTGAAAGAAAATTATCATTTTCTGCTTCTTTTGAGTTTTGCTCCTTCAATCCCTCACCTGCTTTGTTCTCAGGAATCTCGCTCTTTTGATTATTATCATTTAAGACATCCACACCACCATCAGCTGGTTCAGTCTGCTTAGGCTGCTTAGCAGCATGGAAAGCCCGTGCCTTCGCTCTATGTTTCTTACCATCAGCATGGAGAAGTAGAGTCTGCTTGCTAGTTGCATTGGTATTACACAAACTGCAGATACAAACATTTGAGATCAAACAAGGATGAATATAAATCTCAGAAAAAGGGGAAGGAAGAAAAACATTAGAAAAGAAAATTAACAAATGAAGCATAAGAAACAAGTCTCGCAACCCAATAATACAACTATACAAGCCAGTAAGAAAAAAGGAGGGAAAAAAGGAATAAAGTAATTAGGTAGGAAAGAGAAGCACTTATTTAAGTAGTTATAAAGTTTCAGATAGATAAGGGGATAAGAGGCAAAATATCATTCTAACTTGGAGTCAGTGATTATAAACCAAGATTAATGCAAGCATCAGTGCAATAAAAACATTAAATTGGACAAGGATGATCTGATCTGTTTCAACAAAATTGTCATTTCATGTCAAGCAATATCCATAACCTTTTTCTTCAATTCTTATAAAAGCGTAATCAACAAGAGAAAGATAAAAAGCTTCACCAGACCTACAAAACCAAGGTGGACGGTCTGACAATCCAACATTGATGTCTACATCAGGCTTTTGCTTAGCATCACTGCTGGGCTTGACAGGAGCTCCATTTGAAGCTTTTCCTTGGCCCTTTGGACCATATTTCTCCTGAAGAAAATACAAATCTGTATATATCAAAACACCAATCGAACAAACACACCACACTTTTGTTTCTCTCTCACTCAAACTCACGCACTGTTTCCTTTTTTTCCTTTATCAAAGCAACTCTGTTCTTCCTCGTCCCTTTCAACTTCAATCAATTCAATAATTTTCTTTTTAACTAGCATATCAAATCACATTTGGGTATTATCGAATCTAATTCTCCATCTTTATTATGCATTTAATGATAGTTTTCATTTATGAAATTGGAGTTTAAAAAGACCAACAAGATGCCACAAGTTAAGCCAAACAAATAGAAACAAATAGGAATTAAAGCACACAGATTTCTATGAGAAAATAGAGAGAAATGAAGAGTGAGATATTCTACCATCAGCAAGTATGTTACATTCTGGATTTTGAAGTTACAAAATCCAGCAGCCTCTTTTTTTTTTTAAATATGCTTTGATAAAAGATCAATGGTTAAAATAGAAGACATGTGACAAGTTTTTTGCTTTGAGTATTCCCAGAGATATCTTTTCAGCAGCGACAGCAATAAAGCATTTCTTCAATCTACTGATGTATAATATTTAATGTTTACTTCATCCTCTTTCTTCTAAGTTTCCATTGTGTTGCAATTGTAATTGGTCTACTTTTGTCAATTGATCATTTCACTAAGAGAACAATTTTTGTTGCCTAAATTTTATGAGCCTAAGTTAATGGGTTCTTGATTTTCTCATAGCAGTCATATTACAATACCGATCATCATCACCACAATAGACCATCCCAATCATTAGAGAACATAAACGTTTATTTTTTTATTTCAAATAATGATTTTATTTTATTAAATTTAGATATTTATAAAATATAATTTTTTATTATAATTATATGATTATGTTTAAAAATAAATAAATTATGCACATTCTATGTTGAAAAAGAATTAGTCTAAATCATTCAATGTTCAGATCTAGAGACAGATGTGCATTCAGATTCATACGCCTTAACCTTAATGAAACAAATGAGACCTAAAGGTGTGTTTGGTATGGATGAAAACATTTTTCATTTGTCCTATGTTTTGTCCAAACATTTTGTCATTTTCCGTAGGAAAATAAGTTCCTTAAACCATCATATGTGATTCATTCCCGTAAAATTACAGTGCACATGAAGACCCTTTACCGCTTTGTGGGGAGCGGGATGAATGATACATCTGGCAAGCGCCGGTGAAGAACGCAAGCAAGGCTGGAGCTCAGGTATTGATATATTCCATCAAGAGAAAGGAGGTGAAATCTTACTCTATATATATTCATCATCAGCTACTTTCACTATGACAAAGTTGTTCATCAGATAGTCTATAGTTCTTTTTGGAGGAAATGACTTTGTTAATGGAAGTAAAGAAAACATCAAAACAAGTTGCATAAGTGTCGTTCCAAGTTTATTGTCTCCTCTCCACTCATCCAATCCCTCCAACTCCCACTTCCTTGACCATCCATCTCCGAATCCCCACTTCCCATCCCATTTAATACCTGCCTCTATAGTGTTTTACTAGACAAGATATAAATGCTCTTCGGATAGTATTTTCTTGTATGCTTACCAAACACTAGAAACTAAGCCGGAAACAAGAAAACATCTTCTAGGAAATTATTCTCCATAGAAAACATTTTCCATCATACCAAACACGAGTTGTGATATTTGGAACAGAATAAATTTGCAGGCATGTCATCTTTCCCCTTTCAATCAATCAAAGCAACTTATTTCCCTTAACCAAACACTGGAAAATGATTTCATTACTGAGAAAGAGAATAAATTTTCGGTAACTAACACTGGAAATAATTTCATAAATGGGAAATAGGAAAGTATTTTCTGCAATATTTAAAACACATGTAGATGAAATCATGCATGAAACATTTAGTAACCAACTCTCTAAAGAATTTGCAACAAGCGAGAATGACGGCGATCATTTTGTTGATTAAGCACTCAGCTATTAGTTTAGAAAGATAGGTATGGCCTATGGAGCACGACATCAGTGATACTTGATAACACTGGATATAGAACTTACTGCTACGTAATACTCCTATTCTACAAGCTAGTTAAGAGAAAAATAACTGTCAAAAGGAAATGTATATTTGCAAATACTCCATGTACAAAAGTTAGTAATAAAGTATAAGAATTTGGGTAGGGCACAATAAGCTTTGGAACATAAAAGAGGCAGAGAATATTACCGCTTCAGAGATGCATTGGGTGTGAGTTTCCACAGTTTGACGACTAAAAGTCTCTCCACAATCAATGCAAGATAGCTTAAGAAAACACACAAAAAAAAGAACAATAAGTTAACTTGAATTCGTAATTGCATTCAGAATCAATCTATGGAAAAAAAAAGGCACCTTAAAAGCAGAACACATTCGAAAGTGGTTTGCCAATTTGGGTTTCTTCAAATTGTCTCCACAATCTTCACACTGAAACCAAACCATTCTGAGCTAATTCAACCGGAAAACAAAAAATGGTGTGTGGTTAGGGTTTTAGGGATTGAGGAAAACACAAAGGCTAGCTATGGCGTTCCTGTGTTAAATCCAAATGAAAGAGTAAACAGCGAACAAGGTGAGTTAAGTTAGTAGCATGGGCCATTGTTTCCTCGGGGCCCAAATATTTTTCGGAGAAGTTCGGCCCGTTGGTCTTCATCATACATACATATTTAAGGAAACTTGATTATACCTAATTTCCTATTTCACCCATAATTAGAAATTATGTCTCACTAATTTTTTTTGTCTCATCTATTCTATTCGTATTTTCGCTTCCATACAAAGACGAGTTTTTGGCTAAAAACATCCTTAAACTATATTCTAAAATTAAACTATATTCTTAAAGTATCATTTTTAACAGAAAACATCATCCAAGTATTTAAAAGTTTAACAATTTTTATCCTTCTGTTAGATATCGTCAAAAACTAAAGGATCCTATAGAAACATGAGTAGTTCACATGACTATCAAAAAAAGTTTTTCTACATAGTTTTATTACCTGCTATAACATGTTCCTAAAAATATTTTAAATCTTAGACACTATTACTTATTGAAACAAAAAAAAATATTTGAAAGGTGTGATGATTATATGATCTACTCTTTTTCTTATTTAGTAACGAAAAGAAGTTGAATTTTAACCCATTTAATTTTCTCATCTCCGCCCATTATAGTGAACATGACCCAAACCCAATTAGAAGACCCATTAAAAAATAAATCAGTTGTTGAAGAGAAAATTTGGGAACATTCGAGACTACCATTAAAGAAACTAACAAATTAAGAAACAGTAACAGAGGAAATTCTAGAAATTATGCAAACTCAAATTCTCATGAATTAACAAAAGGTGATAGATTTCATAGATGATAGATTAGCCATCCACATTACACAAAATGCATACAAGTAAGCAAGCTAATAACTAAAAGGAATTATTTTTACACTTATCATCAAACCCTAATATAGTAAAATTAAACATAAACTCTAACAAACCCTAATATAGTAAAATCAAACATAAACTCTAACGTTGATCAAATTCTTCAAGAGCTAGTGAATTTGGTAACAATCTTTTTTGTCTTAACTCTAAAGTTGATCTCTAGTGGAAAATTTTTCTCTTGTTTCATCTAAATTCCGAACTGATTTTACTTTAAAAATTTTGATGTCAATTTTGTACTCATGTAATATTTAATTAATATTTTGAAGTCCTAAGGAGCTGAGTTCACAAATAATCATTTTAAATCAATTGATTGAATATCATCTTGAATATTTTGAATTGAATAAGAAAAGAGGGAAGAAGAAAGAAGCTTGGATTAGGGGAGAAAAATTCAATAAAATTATTTTTAATGGGTCTTCTAATTGTGTTTGTGTCATGGTCACTGCAATGGGTGGGTAGGAAAAAGTTAAATGGGTTGAGATTTAATTTATCCAATAAGTAAATGACATGTAACAAATAATAATAATAATAATAATAATAATAATAATAATTACTATTATTATTTTTAAAAAAGTGGTTGTTAGTTTTAAGGGTAGAGATGAACCAAAAAGATAGATGGAAGGATATTTTTAGCCCAATAGATAGATGAGGGGTATTTTTAGACTTTTTCAAATAGTTCAAGGATATTTTTGGCCCTTTTTCGTATTTTAATTAAGGCATAACTCATTGGTGACCTCCTAAGGTTAACACAATATTCCAATTAGACACTTTAACTGCGCGATTCATTTTAGACACTTCAGGTAGAATCTCATAGTGTCATTTTGACACTTTTTGCTTACATGAATAATGAGTGTGATAGACTCATTGATAGGTGCGTGATGTGGTTATTTAGTTACTTTTCAATTATTTTTTTCATCGTCTTCTCCATTTTCACCCACCATTTTACTCAAGCTGATTCTCATCCATTGTAAATGAAGGTTTCAACAAAAATGATGATTTTTTTTAAAAAAAAAGATTAAGAATTTAATAAACCCGTTCATTAAATTGTTTGCGCCAAAGATTTATTTGGAGAAAAAATAACTGGTTGCACAGCGTTTTGCAAAAAAAGATAGAATATTTGGAGGAGAAAGTGTGGGGGTGGTTGCCGAAGGCGATCATGTTTGGGAATGGGGTTAACGGATTTGGAGAAGACGATGGGATGAGGATTTTGAGTAGGCCATTTGGAGTTGTGGGGGTAATTTAAAATTTATTTTGTAACTATATGGGGAAAAAACATTACATGTCATTAATTTATTAGTCCATTTTTATTTTAATTCTACATTAATTATTTAAAAATTACTTTTGACATAAAATACAAGTGTCGTGATCTAATCAACACTTTACACATCATTCGCGAGTGTATACACACACATTATACCTAAGGTGTCTAAAATGAACATTGTTCAGTTAAGGTGTCTATGTGAGACATCGTGCCAACTTCATGGGGCCACCGATAGGTTAGACCTATCATTATTTAATATATAGAAAAGGTATCGTGATACCATCAATTACATAATTTGTATAATTGTTCATTGTGCTTCGATCTCGCAATGTCGTATCAGAATTTGAATTGTTCATGACATAGTTGATATACCTCAATAATAAACTAACTTTGATACTTCAATCCACAACCCAATAAATATAAAGTAAATTAAGCCAATGAGGATAAATATAAGTTATTATATTTTATTTTAAATTTATTTTGTGGGATAGATTGTTACTAGTATCTCATCTAAGGAAAATCTTTTATTCGAAATTGAAGAAATTAAAAGTAAATCGTGTTAAATTGGCGGAGTTATTGTGTGGGAGAGAATATGAATAGTATATGTGAGAGAAGAAAAAAATTAGTCGAATACAATGTCTAAATATGTGTGAAATACGGGATTGAGTATTACCATGTAGATTTTCTGTTAAAGTAATAATGTAGTTTTGGTATACAATTATTTTAAAGTAGGGTTTCAAGGAATAAGGGCATCTCCAATCCAACACTCTATTTTACTCTTCAAATATAAAATTTTCTATTTTTACAGACTATCAACTCCAACTCAATCATCTATTTTACTCTCTTAAAAATACTTTTTCTCTCTCCTTAATATTATATTATTTTTTTAATTTCATTTGACGAGGTGTTTAGTGAGACTAGTACATATATAACAATAATATGGAAAATTTTGTCGAAATACATATCGCCACTCATAGACAGAAGAAAAACTAATTAGCAAATGTTAATATTGCAAAGCATGTCCATTTATTTTGGCGTGGAACTACCACAAACACCTCAAGCTCTCACCAGATGCAATGCTCCCAATCAACCAAACATGAAATAACTTTAGGTAATAGACATTGGAATTCATAATATCTTATCTTCTTATGAATGTGTAGAATTTTTACCGTCTTTGCTTTGAATTTTGTATTCTCTATGGATTGTTTCTTGTGTTTATGCTTGTATATGATTAGCTTATTTCTCTTGATCGACTGTTAACTTGCTTGACTCTCAAATTTGATGTGTGCTTCTTATCTAAGCTAATGACTTTTTTTTCTCAGTAGATCAGATTTCTTGAAAGTTGTTTAGCTGAAAGTTACTAGCAAAATAAAAAACTAGGTTATCAAAAAAATATGTCAAGGTATTTCCTTTTCTCATGACAAGTTGAACCATTACAACCATTCCTTCCCTTAGTCTATTTATGAATTTGACCTCCAATACAAATACCATTTAGAATATTCGTCATAGTTAGAGAACCTATCTTTATTCTGTGAGGTGTGAATTATATGTCCACATAGACTTTCAACCACCCTCTGATGGCAATAGCTTCTAGAACTGTCATGTCACGAGCCTACCCCCTGGACGTGGCCGACACTCAATGACCATTGATGTCCTTGAGAGAAACCTTGACCTGACTTACTTATCTCAACGGAAAACTTAGATCATTATAAGAACGAAACAATCTCAAATAATTACTTAAAGTAAAATAACTTGGCCAAAATGACACTTAAGTCTCATGATAAACTATCTGTAAATAAATAGAGACTCAAAATAAATTATCTGACTAATTATCTGGTCTATGAAGTCTCTATAATACTAATATGAATATTGGGACAAACCCATCAACATTCTATAAATGTAAAGACTGAAAGCAACAAAAGAGTCCTCCGAATGGAAAGAGGCTCACCACTAACTCTGGATGCCCAAACTGGATTAACGAGGCGCTGGATGCTGATAATGATTACTTGCGTCTTCATCATAAGACGATGCAGGCCAACTGGTATCAGTACATTGAATGTACGAGTATGCGAGTTGGAGTGCTAAACAACAACTTTAAGCTTGAAAGGAGTAAGAAAAACTTACCTTGGCTCTGCTCAACTCATGAAATTAATGGACTTAATATAAAGTAATAAAACACGTCCGATATATATAAAGCTTTGTGAAACAGTAAAACAACTTAGATCGTTTAGGAAAATGTAAAAGTAAACTCAACTTTACTTATATATGAAAGTAGTATAATTTCTGTGAGAGATTCTCTAAGAGACAACCATCACTATGAGCCTAAGCGATGGTACAACGCCGTACCTCACGTTGAAAGAGGACCGTCCTATATCTTGTCATCACTATAGAACCTGAACTACTAAGTGGATCCATTAGTCAATGCTAAAAGGCATTAAGGAATCATCTAAAAAGTATGACCCTTCTTCTGTGCATGTTAGCTACATGATTTATGGGAGCTTGAGTTAATATGAACTCACGTCCCTATATCGATGCTCAATCTACTACCAAAATACTTAGCTCATATGTTTTAAAAACAACTTCTTCTCTGGTTTGAGGTAATTTCTCAAACTTAGCTTTAAAAAAAGCTCTCTTGGAAATCATAGTTATCTTTTTCCTAAAACTAGCCAAAGGCTTTGTTGGAAGTCTAGCTTGTTTTTTCTTGCTAAAAAAATGTGGAAAAACATTTATAAATCTTAAGGATTACTTAGTTACCTTATAAGTTTTGATAAATGAACTCAACTCTTTACTCTTTGCTTAACTGGAAACTCTTGACCTTAACTCCGTTAGGAAATACTTAGTTCCCTTATACTTTTTGAAGGAAAGACTTCAACTTTTACTCTTACTCTG